ATGTGATTTTGTTTGTTTTTAGGTTTGTTCATTTGTTACTTTTGGTTTTGTATCCCACATATGGGTGATTCAATCTCCATATGTTGTCTTCTCACATAAACAATGACCAGGGTCTTCACAATTACCATCATATAACTGACCATTTTTCATATATTTGCAATGATTAGAGGCAATGTCAGGTTTTGTTAACTGGAGCCTAGAAGAGAAAAGAATTTCTATTTTTATTAAAAGTTATTCCATAGATCAATTCTATTCTTAAAGGTTATATGCATTAATCCTAACTGATAATAGACACACATGGTAATTGACCATACCTTCGCTATGCCTCCCGTTGGCTAATCAGCACAATATGCAAATTAACCACCAACAAAGATGGTGGTTAATTTGCATAAGTAGGCTGGCTCCAAGCGGCGGAGAGAAGACTGAAGGCGGCTCCGGCCGGAGCGAAAGCCTGGGTCCCGGGTGCCGGAGGAAAACCTGTGCTGGCAGCCAGGAGAAGGGAAGGCCTATTGTACGAATCTCTTCATGCAACAGGCCTCTAGTTGAAATATAAAGGAACATACATTTCTTTGGCAGATTTATGAATGTGTAAGTAATAAATAATATTTGTTCCATTCAACTCTTAAGGAAGGAAAATGGCAGAGTAAGGAACTCCAAAACACTGGTCCATTAATGCAATGATAAAGCTGACTATACCTTACTCAAAATTTTCAGAGATCTGGAATCTAATGAAAAAGTGACAACAAGCAAGTGCTTGTTAAAAGAAGAAAAAACCTTCTCTCTTTGGTAAGAGAGCATTTGTTTCATTCAAAGTAAATGAACCCAGGTCAGTGTTGCTCAGTTGGTTAGAGTGTTGCCCTGACACCAAACTGTGCAGGTTTCACTCCTGGTCAGAGGCAGCTGTCCAATATATCTCCTCTCTCTCTCTCTCTCTCTCCTTCCCTCTCTCTCTCTTTCTCTCTCTCTCTCCAAAAAAAAGTAAATAATGAGAGATACTAAAATTGTTTTAAATCCTGATTATTATCACCATTTGCTTGACATAAGAGTATCTTTTATATTTATCTTAATAACGTGGTAGGATGAATGGAGTACCTCCTACACAATAGCATTTTACTAAGAAAATTTAATAAGAGCAGTTTTCAAATTTTGTGTCAGGACTCCTTTCAACTATTAAAAATCATTCCAGAGACCAAAAGAAATTTTGTTATTTGGGATTTATCTATCCAAATTTATTATACTAAAAATTAATTCTGTTATAGTTACAAAGCATTCACTCTTGTATATGTAACAATGCGAAATACATGTACATTTTGTGTTAATATAAAAGTAATTATATTCCTTCCCAAAATGCTGCCAACATTTTCATATTTTTTAGTATATTTAGCAAATCTTTAATTGTCTAGCATAATTGACAAGTGAATTTTTATATTTGCTTCAGTGTTTAATCTTCTTTGATATAATGTTATAGAAATAAATCCATTCACTGATTAAAAAATGAAACTGAAAGAGAAAATCACATTTCAATATTATTTTGAACAGAGTTTTTTCTTCACAGTCCTCTCATAAGTGTCTTTGTACATTATGTAGTAAATTATTATGGTTCAGAGAAATAAAAAATAAGTCTATACCTAGAAAATCAGCTGGTTTCTACTAGGCTATAAACACTAGCCATCATACTAAACATCATTGTTATTCATTTCCAAAGGTCAAATATTTTAAGAGTTCTATGTGAGTTGGAGTAATCAGGTTTAATAGAAAACTTCAAATCGTGGAATTTAGCATCTAATTATATGCACACTAGATAATTAATTAATATTGCTATTCTGAGACTGGTGTTTTAAAATAGCTGGAAAAGCACAGCTGGTGGTTGAGGTCAAGGTTCAATTCCCAGTTAGGGCACATACCAGGATTGCTGGTTCAATTCCCAGTGTGGGGCGAGCAGGAGGCAGCCAATCAAGGAGTCTCTCTCATCAATAATGTTTCTGTCTCCCTCTCCCTTCCTCTCTGAAAACAATAAAAATATATTTAAAATAAACTAATCTGAAGATACTTACTTGTCCAAGGTAAAAGCTGAGCCATCCAGCCAAGCCCATTTCAGTTCACTGCTGTTGTAATATAAACTGATCTAAAACTTTCCTGCCCCAATATGACTTTCCTTCATTGAAAAATTTAGTACAAAATCCTGGATAGAATGAGAATGGGAAATAAAATAAATCTGATACCTTTGGTTGGTTGTCTATATATATAGAAATTAAAACTTTTATTTACTTCATTAAACACTAGAGGCCCGGTACACAAAAATTTGTGCAGTGGGGGGGAGGAGAGGGTGTCCCTCAGCCCAGCCTGTGCCCTCTTGCAGTCTGGGACCCCTCTGAGGATGACCACCTGCTGGCTTAGGCCCGCTCCCCAGGGGACTGGGCCTAAGCTGGCAGTCAGACATCCCTCTAGCAGCTCAGCAGCCCTCGGGGGATGTCCACTTTCCGGCAGGGAGCAGACTTAAGCTGCAGTCGGACATCCTTAGCGCTGCTGAGGAGGTAGGAGAGGCTCCTACCACCACCACTGTACTGGCAGCCATCAGCCTGGCTTGTGGCTGAGCAGAGCTCCCCATGTGAGAGCGCCCTGACCACCAGAGGGCAGCTCCTGCATTGAGCATCTGCCCCCTAGTGTTCAGTGTGTGTCATAGTGACCAGTCATTCCCAGCTTTTCTGCTGTTAAGGTCAGTTTGCATATTAGCCTTTTACTTATAGGATAGAGGCCTGGTGCATGGGTGGGGGTCAGCTGGTTTGCCCTGAATGGTGATCCGGATGAGGGTGGGGGTCCCGCTTGGGTGCCTGGCCAGCCTGGATGAGGGGATGATGGCTGTTTGCAGCTGATTGCACCCCCTTCAGGGTGGGGTCCCCACTGGGGTGCCTGGCCAGTCTGGGTGAGGGGCTGAGGGCCATTTTCAGGCTGGTGGGCGACCAAAGCTTCCAACCTCTCCTTTTATTTTATTCTGGGATTTATTTACCTTCTATGGCTGTCACTGGAGCTGAGAGCCGGCTCCAGCTCTGAGGCCTTTGCTGCTGAAAGCAGGTATCTGGGGTTTCTTTAGCTTCTATAATTGAAACACTGTTGCAGCTCTAGCTCTGAGACCTCAGCTGGCTGAAAGCAGATATCTGGGGTTTGTTTAGCTTCTATAATTGCAACATTGTTGCTTAGAGTGCAGCTTGGCTTCTTCCATCACTGGAGCAAGCAAATCTCGTGTTTGCTTCAGCAGCGTAGTTGCTGGCCGCCATCTTCGTTGGCAGTTAATTTGCATATCGCCCTGATTAGCCAATGAGAAGTGTATAAAGGTATGGTTAATTACTCTATTTGTCTTTTATTAGATAGGATTTTTATTTTTATCTGGAATTGTAACTCTATATTTAAAAAATGCTCTTGGGATTTTTTTGGAGACTCACTAATAATCAATAATTTATTCATTCATCAAACAACTATTATGGAGCCTTCATAATACTGTAATCATTGTGGTGCATATTGAGAATTGAAAGGCAGTAAGTAGACTTGTTACCTGTGAATTGAAGAAAGATACAAACCAATTAAGTAAGCCATTGCTACAAAAAAGGAAAGTACTGGATAAAATGAGAGGATTTAACAGGAACTCCTTTAGGACCAGGTGATCAAAATAAAAAGTTTTATATTGTAGACATTTTAGGATAAACCATAAAAGTAAATAGGCACTTATTAGGGTGAGGTTACAAAGGGTTGAGAAGAGGACAGTAAAATCATGAGAAGATTGAATTAAACTTTAACAAGTACATAAGTGAAGTATATTAAAATAAGTGGGTGAGGAAGTGGAAGTGATAAAAAATTATTGGTAACTAAGGAGGCTGGAGAAATAGGCAAGAGTTCAGACGGGAGTAAAGCCTGCACTAATATATGGCTTAACCCGGCAGTAGTTCTCAACCTTCTGGCCCTTTAAATACAGTTCCTCATGTTGTGACCCAACTGTAAAATTATTTTCGTTGCTACTTCATAACTGTAATGTTTCTCATCATAATGTAAATATCTGATATGCAGGATGGTCTTAGGCGACCCCTGTGAAAGGGTCTTTTGACCGCCAAAGGGGTCGTGACCCACAGGTTGAGAACCGCTGGCTTAGAGGCTTTAAAAGAGGCCCCAAGGAAGAGTTTCAAGAAAAGGGAACATTGGTTTGCACTGGGATGCGAAAGAAAAATATCCCTGTGCTTTCTGTCTGTCTTTGTGGCTACCCAGATTGAATAAGGGACTACATCTGCAAAAAAAAAAAAAAAGAAAAGAAAGAAAGAAAAGGGAGCAGCATAATCTGGTGTGTATCATGTGCCTTTCCCTGTGCTGAAACAGGGATATCAGAACAGACAAAACCTAAAGCCCAAGACATACCTCCTGGAGAAACTTACTAAAATTTAAGAAACAGAAATGTTTTTACCATTTCTTTTTCAGTATTTAGTTTAAGAAAACTTGAAGACCGAGTAGTACAATAAACTTCACAATTTCCCCAAGGACTTGGTTGTGTAGAAAGAGAGTAGCAGTTTTCCCCATGTTGGTGCCAGTTGTCCTCACAAGGGTGACATTCCCAACCTAAAGAAGAATTACAGTCAGTCTAAATGCCTCCTGTTAGTATACTTATATGTAGAAATATGGGTGTTTAAGTTGTGAAAAATAAGTTAAGAAGCAATACAGAAATTATATGACCAATTATATTCACCCATTTAAAACTGTTGTTCTGTTAACTAATGTGCATAATGCTAAGACATGACTATGCCATTGTAGTTTAATAGGACAATTATTACTATGTAAGCATTATTGACAACTTCCAAATTTAAGTGTATTTCTAGGAGATATATTTCTGGGTGTCTAACACTGCATGTTATGTGTGTAACATATTTAATTACTTAATTATTGTATATGTATAAATATATAAACACACAGATATTTTTATTTTCTAACTCTTAGGAAAGGTGACCTTATTCCTAATTACCATGAACTTTTGTCAGTAGTGGGGAAATCGCTGAATTTCCTGAAATCAATTCCTTCTGATCTGTTTCTTGACTGGAAGTGAGATTTCCTGAACATGGCTCTGTTTCTGAAGACAAAATCACAAATATCAGTGTGGTTTGCCACATGTGCCTGAAGATAAATGTGCTATTGCATAAGCACTTTATTTATTAGGTGACTACAAATACAGTGGGCCTTGACTTACGAGTGTCCCGACTAACGAGTTTTTTTTGAGATACCAGCCGTCTGTCGGCCGATTTTTTGCTTTGAGTTGCGAGATAAAATTCGGGTTACATACGAGCCAGCTTCAGATACCCCACCGCTAGTTGGCACAGCGAACATCACAGTGATTTGACATACGAGTAATTTGAGTTACGAGCTCGGTCACGGAATGAATTAAACTCGTAAGTCAAGGCCCCACTGTAGTAAAAATACATTAGCAATAATATTTAAAAGGCACAATATAATTGGAGGGAATACACAGACAAATTTAATAACAATAATACAATATTATGGGAAAATTAGCACAATATTGGTAAGATCACAGATTATAGAGAAATTGGTTCTGATAAGGAAACCCTGTGGGAGATTTCTCAGAAAAAGTAGTCCTGGTGTAGGTTTAAGTAAGAGAAAGAGATTAACTGGAAGAAAAAGAAAGAGGAGTTACTATTTCATGTGGATGGAATCTTATGAATGAAAGAACGAAGTGATGAAAGTTCAAGGTAAAGACATAGTAATTTGATGTGGTTCTGAAAATCACCTCTAGTACAGAGACAATAACATAAAAAAAAAAAAAAACCCAAAAAACGAAATGGTGCTGAGGATATTACCTTAGGAGATAAAAGACCATAACGAGATTCCTTTCCATGAGCAGTGAGCAAGCTGACTTCTTTTCTATCATAGAAACTTACTGTTTGTAGTTAAGATTCTAACAAACACAAGGAGCCCCAAGCAGATGACCCCCAGAACTGCTGAAAGTAACTTCCATGAAGACTGCTGGGCAGAATAGCCTTTAGAAAGAGGTCAGTAAGTTGCTTCTATATGCTTATTCACAGTTCTTTATTTTTTTCAGTTATAGTTTATTATCAGTATTATATTGTATTATTTCAAGTGTACGGCATTGTGGTTAGACAATCATATATTTTACAAAGTGCCCTCCGCCCCAATCCCTAATAATTCCAGTACCTACCTGACACCATACACAGTTATTACAATATTATTGACTATATTTCCTATGCTGTACTTTACTTCCCCAAAACTATTATATAATGACCAATCCCTTCACCTTTTTCATCCAGTTCCTTAACACCCTCCTCTCTGGCAACATTCAGCCTCTTCTCTGTATCTAGGAATCTTTTTCTGTTTTGTTTTTGAGTGTTTCATAGTGAAACTCCAAAGACATGTCTACAAGCCTTATCTGCCTGACAATTTATGTTGTAAAACTATTCTTGAGTTAATGGTCTTGATATTCATTTAAATATAAATGCAAGAATGAAATATCTATTCTCTTTTTAAAATAAAATGTTTAAAAGTTATATGCAATAATTTTATTCGATTAGAAAATTTGAGAAAAGATTAACAAGAAATAAAAAGCCAATTACTGCCCTAGCAGGTTTGGCTCAGTGTAGACAGTTGGCCTGTGGACTGAAGGGTCCTGGATTTACTCCTGGTTAAGGGAAGGTACCTCGGTTTCAGGCTCCTCTCTCTGTTCAAGAGCATGTGGAGGCAATCAATGGATTCACACAACTCAAGAGCAAAACAAATATGATTAAAAATTGGGCAGAAAATTGACATATGAAAAAATGCTCAATGTCACTTATCATCAAAGATATGTAAATTAAACTCACAATAAGATATCACCTCCAACCTGTCAGAATGGCTATCATCAATAAATCAACAAACAATAAGTGCTGGGAGAATGTGGAGAAAATGGAATCCTTATGCATTGTTGGTGGGAATGCAGACTGGTGCAGCCACTATGGGTTTTCCTCAAAAACTTAAAAATGGAACTGGCTTATGACCTGCAATTCCACTTCTGGGAATATATCCCAAAAAACACAAAACACTGGTTCAAAAGAGTATATGCACCCCTATGTTTATTGCAGTATTTACAATGGCCAAGATCTGGAAACAGCACAAGTGCCCATCAGCAGAGTGGATGAAAAAGCTGTGGTACATTAACACAATGGAGTATTCTTTGTCCATAAAAACAGGAAATCTTACCTATTATGACACATGGGTGTTCCTGGAGAGTATTACGCTAAGTGAAATAAGCCAGTCAGAAAAAGACAAATACCGTATGATCTCACTTATATGTGGAATCTAATGAACAAAATACACTGAAGAATAAAATAGAAACAGAGCCCTACTGGGTTTGGCTCAGTGGATTGAGCATCGACCTGCTGACTGAAGGGTCCCGGGTTTGATTCTTGTCAAGGGCATGTACCTATGTTGCAGGGTTGATTGCTGGCCATGGTTGGGGCACATGTGGGAGGCAACTAATCAATGTTTCTCTGTCACTTCGATGTTTCTCTCTGTCTCTCCCTTCAACTCTCTTTTAAAATCAATGGGGTGAAATATCATTGGGTGAGAATTATCTAAAAAACAAAACAAAATAGAAACAGAGACATGGACATATGGAACAGACTGACAGCTATCAGAGGGGAGAGGAGTAGAAGGATTAGAAGAAAGAGAGGGGATTAAGCAAAATATATATCCATATTTATGTATATCACAAAGTCACAGACAGCAGTGTGATGACAGCCAAAGGGAAAGAGGGTGGGGGTAGGTGGAAGTGGGCAAAGGGTGGGGGAAATGGGGACTGAAAGAGACTTTGCCTAGGGCAATGGGCTCATGAGGCAGTGTGCAGAGGATGCTTTTGACACTTGAAACTTGTATGCTTTTGTGAACCAATGTCAGCCCAACAAATTCAATAAAAATAAGAATGGAATAGAAAATATATCCCATAAACCATTTAAAAAATTGGGCAGAGGATCTGAATAGACATACAGGAAAGGAAACATACAGATGGCCAGGAGGTACCTGAAAGGGTACTCAGTCATGAGGGAAATGCAAATCAAAACCACAATGAGATATTACCTTATACCGGTTAGAATGGCTACTATGAAAAATAACAAATATTGGTGTGAATGTATAGAAAACTCAACCCTTGAGCACTGTTGGTGGGAATATAAATTGGTGCAGCTACTATGGAAAACAGTAAGGAGGTTCCTCAAAATGTTACAAATAGAACTACTATATGATCCAGCATGTATATGAACACATACAAACTCCAGTTATAAGTCATGAGGATGCAATGTACAGCATGGTGACTTCAGTTATTACTCTATTGCATACTTGAAAGGTGCTGAGGGAGTAAATCTTAAAAGTTCTCATCACATACACACAAAAAAAATTGGTAGGTACATTGATGGATGGTAACTAGAGTTATTGTGGTGATCATTTTGCAATATATACAAATATCAAATCACTATGTTGCACACATGAAACTAATTATATGTCCATTATATCTCAAAAGAAAGGAAAATCAACAACAAAAAAATGTACTGCATATTAATGCAGCCATCAAATCCATCACAGAACAAATAGCAAGCAGGAATGTGATACCATAGTCATCCTCAACCAACTATACTTGAGACCTTGATAGTTTTTCAATCTCATACATCTTGAGAAAAAGCATAATCCAGTTGTGGGTATTTTTTTTTCTGTTCATCAGATTATTTTTCACTTGATTCTTAGATTCACTTGTTGATAGATGCATATTTGTTGTTCATAATTTGTATCTTTACCTTTTTCTTCCTCTTCCTCTTCTTAAAGGATACCTTTCAGCATTTCATATAATCCTGGTTTGGTGGTGATGAACTCCTTTAGCTTTTCCTTATCTGTGAAGCTCTTTATCTGGCCTTGAATTCTGAATGATAGCTTTGCTGGATAAAGTAATCTTGGTTGTAGGTTCTTGGTATTCATCACTTTGAATATTTCTTGCCACTCCCTTCTGGCCTGCAAAGTTTCTGTTGAGAAATCAGCTGACAGTCATATGGGTATTCCCTTGTAGGTAACTGAGTTTCTTTCTCTTGCTGCTCTTAAGATTCTCTCTTTGTCTTTTGCTCTTGGCATTTTAATTATGATGTGTCTTGGTGTGGTCCTCTTTGGATTTCTTTTGTTTGGGGTTCTCTGCGCTTCTTGGACCTGTAAGTCTATTTCTTTCACCAGGTGGGGGAAGTTTTCTGTCATTATTTCTTCAAATAGGTTTTCAATATCTTGCTCTCTCTCTCATCTTCTGGCACCCCCATAATTCTGATGTTGGTACGCTTGAAGCTGTCCCAGTGGCTCCTTACACTATCTTCGTATTTTCGGATTCTTTTTTCATTTTGCTTTTCTGGTTGGGTGTTTTTTGCTTCTTCGCATTTCAAATCTTTGACTTGATTCTTGCGCTCCCCTGGTCTGCTGTTGGGAGTCTGTATAATATTCGTTATTTCAGTCGGTGTATGCTTAATTTCTAGTTGGTTCTTTATCACAACATTGAGGGTCTCATTAGATTTCTCAAGGATCTCATTAAGTTTATCGGCGGCTTCTAGACAGTTCTTGAGAGACCTTAAAAGTGTGGTTCTGAACTCTATATCTTCCATTGACAATTTTGTCCTGTTTCTTTGTCTCCGCATTTTGTGATGCTTCCTTGGTGCACCCCCTAGTGGTCTTTGTGCGCAGTCTTGTAGTTAAGCCTTGATTGTTGTAGCTAATACTAGGGGGGATTTGACCACCAGGCCAAGTGGCTGTGAGAATCAACTGTGTCTGCAGTAAGAGCCCAGTTGTGGGTTTTTTTTCAAATGTATTTTTATTGATTTCAGAGAGGAAGAGAGAGGGAGAGAGAGTTAGAAACACCAATGCTGAGAGAGAGTCAGTGAATGGCTGCCTCCTGCACACCTGCTACTAGGAATCCAGTCTGCAACCTGGGCATCTGCCCTTCACCAGAATCGAACCAGGCAATCGCTCTATCCATGAGCAAAACCAGTTAGGGCCATACTCCAGTTTTTACATGTGGTACTTGAGGCATATAAAACATGAAAGCAGTATATAGAGATTAAAAGTTTAAATAATTCATTTAAGTTAATTTGTCTGTACTAAGCACAAAATTGTTCAGACATGTACTTATTTACACCAGTGAAAATCTAAAGAGTTAGGTATCCAAGAGGATGATTGCATAAAAGATTAAGTATGCATCATTGTACTATTTACATAAGTTAAAATAAGGAAATAAACAACATTCTATTGACACTATTGCCCCTAACACATGTCATACATGACTAATAAATAATGAAAATAAAATTGTAGAGATAAAATAGAAACATACTAATGGTAAAATGTTGAGTGAAAAATATAGTTTTTGCTCAGCCTGGGTTGCTCAATGGATGATCATCAACATATTAACCAGGAGGGCACATGCCCAGGTTACAGGTTCAATCCCCAGTGTGTTGCATTCAGAAGGCAGCCGATCAATGATTCTCTCTCATTATTGATGCTTCTATCTCTCTGCCTTTTCCTTCCTCTCTGCGATCAATAAAAATATTTTTAAATATATATTTTATGTATTTGGTAATGGCAGGTGTAATTTTTATTTATTTTTCAATTACAGTTGACATTCAGTATTATTTTGTGTTAGTTTCAAATGTACAGCATGGTTGTTAGACAATCACATACTTTACAAAGTGATCCCACTGATATTTCAAGTACCTGACACCATACATAGTTATTACAATATTATGGACTGTATTCCCAATGATGTACTTTGCAACCCTGTGACTATTTTGTAACTGCCAATTTGTACTTCTCAATCCCTTCTTCTTTGTCATCCAGTCACCCAGCCTCCTTCCTCTCTGTCAACCATCAGTATGTTTTCTGTATCTATGAGTCTATTTCTATTTTGTTTGTTCATTTATTTTGTTCTTTAGAGTCCACATGTAAGTGAAATCATATGGTATTTGTCTTTCTCTGGAAGGTAGAATTTTTAAAATTAAGTAACCACAAATTCATAGAAGGTATGAATCAATGATTAATTTTCTTTATTTCTTAAATATTTAGTATTGGGAAAGTTTATCTTGACAAGATTAGATATGGTAAATTAAATAACCTTGTACAAAATGTTTTTGCCACTTGAAATGCATTTATTTAATCTAGAGCTAAGGCCATGTTGGACAGTGTATCATATATTTGCCATAATCCACAATCAAAGATTAGGGAGGTTATAGTTTCATTTGTGTGCAATTTTTTGCATTTGTCATGTTCAATTTCAGGCATATAGCAGATACTGCTTTTAAGTATCAAGTAAAACAATAAAAGTGAGAAAGCTACACACCTCGATGTTCAGAACACATGATCACTTTGGTTTCAGCGTAGACTGGTGCCCTTCTCTGCAGCTGGGATGAAGAAGAAACTCGCACCTCAAAGTAAGTCACGGCTTCTTCTCCTATTTCTGAAAAACAAACGTATGGAAAATAACATGAAAGCTTCTTATGACTTCCTTGGGCATAGAAGTGCCATAACTAAAATAAATGGTTCACAAAGAAGTTATCTTGATAATAGTAAAACCTAATAAATAATTTGGAGTTTCTTTCAATTTAGAGAATATTTTTAAGAACAGATGATCAGCCCTACCCAGTTTGGCTCAGTGGATAGAGCGTTGGCCTGCAGACTCAATGCTCTCAAGTTCAATTCTGGTCAAGGTCGTGTGCCTTGGTTGTGGGCCCATACCCAGTGGGGAGTGTGCAAGAGGAGGCTGATCGATGTTTCTCTTTCATCGATGTTTCTAACTCTCTATCCCTCTCCCTTCTTCTCTGCAAAGAATAAATAAAATATATATTTTTTAAAAAGAACAGATGATCATAAAGTTCAAAAACTATTTAGAAACAAATTTTTAAGGCATATCATTTTTTTATTACATTCAAGTTAAATATTTTTCTGAAATTTCAAATTACCAATTTCCAAATTGATGACATAAGTTGAATTAATGCTTGTCATTACATAACAAATAAAATATTTTTTAAAGCCTATCTATAAAAAATGTCCCAACTACTCTTACAGACCTTTATACTTCTCGTTAAAATCTTCTCTCTTTTTAGTATAAATTTATTTGCCTGTATTACTCCATTATCATCAGGTAATTATTTAAAATATGACTTAAATTCTACCTATGTCAAGAAAACTTTTCAGATCTTTCAGTAAGAATTTATCATGTCTTCGCACAAATTATCCTTTATAACACTTTTTTTTAAACCCATCATCACCTTTTGTTTTTGTTTATGCTGCTATTTCCTCACAAAGACACACTATGGTTGCAGAAATCACATCTTAATAATTTTGTTATTAATGCCATTATTTGTTAGGTTCCTTTATGCACTTTATAATTCCAACAACTTGACTTTGATACCAAACTGAATATTTTGTACATCAAATACATTGAACCTAAAAAGGAATCTTAAAATTTTAAAGGGAGCTTTGCATATGTTTCAGTACCTAAATAGTCTATGGCTATTCCATGTACTATTGAATGTACAAATCTAACAGTAAGTTTTCTGAACTTCTTTCCAGTATAATTTTGGGTTTCTTTATATTCTTTAAATATCTTTCCATATAGAATTAAGAATTTCCTTCCAAGTATTTCTAATGATCTTATTTCCAATGGTTATCATAATCAAGAAAATATATTTAAGTCTGTTCTAATCTGCCTTCCTACCATCTGTTTCTTTATCAATCAATCTATAGATCTTTCATCTATCTGAATATGTACCTTCTTACTGATAAATATCACTTTCCATGTTCTATTAAAATTATTTTGATCAAATTTTATTTAATAATTTTTATAATAATATATAGAAAGTAAAATACATTAATATCATAAAAAGTACCTGCTTTTTAGAGGAAGATGCGAGGATCTTTGTAGAATACATATTTTCCTGGGAAGAAGATTATAATTCTTGGGAAGAAGTCTGAATATAAGAATTCTTGATGACCCTTGGTATAAAATCCAACCCAGAATATAAGGAAAAGACAATAAATACATAGTATAATGTCTTTCTTTTGTCCTATACACAAAATAATATGTGAGAACAGAGTCTGAAAATAAGTGTTCTCATGATGCAACCACACAGGAAGTCCTTCTATCTAAAAACATCACCAGATTCGGGGCCTTTTATCAGTGTGAACTTTAGTAGCATCAAAATATGGTATGTTTTCAGTAATGATCAATATGGTTTACTCAACTGGATATTAAGACTTAAAAAATACAGATTTTTTTCAATTAGGAAAGTGACTCACTTTCACCAACACCCGCTTTTAAGTTTTCTGCAATGTATCTTATCAACTGTTTGGCTACAATAGCACATCAAAATTTTGCTAATAAATGTGCATAATTTATCACAGTCTATTATATTTCCTTTGTTTTATAGAATCATTTGGCATTTAAATTTTCAATGGAATTAAAAGTATCAGTCTTACCTATAAGCTGAGCTTGTAAAATTGAGTAGGAGTTAACTAAAGGGAGAAATAAGTAGAAAAAGTTTGGTAAGCAAAAGAAATAGCGTTTGCAAATTTCCTAAGCCAGGAATGAACATATGGGTAAAGTTTTGACACACAAAGTTGTGTAACCATCACAAGTGAAATAAATTTATCTGTCACCCATACACAGGATGGGACAAAATAGGCTTTCAGTTGTGAGTATGCAAAACACAGAGCTTATTCTTTTTAAAAAATATATTTTAGAATAATTTTGTTGAGTTTTTATTATCCCTTGTGTATTGGTGGAGTTATTTTTCGTATTTATTCCTAAATATTTCATTGTATTTATTATTATGTAAATAGGGTTTTCATCTTTTGTCTTCTAGTTGGTTTTATTTCTGTAAACTAATGCTATCTATTTTGTATATTTATTTCACAACCTGATAATTTGCTAAATTACTTATTATTTGAGCTGAATTTATCACTGATTCTCTCATATAATTTTCATACATTATCATGCCTTGTGGAAATAAAGAGTTTTTATTCCATTTTTATATTTTTATTTAGTTTTTCTAGCCTAGTTACATTGGCGAACATGACCAGAACAATGTTAATGAGTAGTGGAGATAATTGGCATTAATGCCATTTTCTTACTCTAATGCAATATCTCAAAGATTTTTCTGCAAAGTAGAACACTAGCTTTAGAATGCACACACACACACACACACACACACACACACACACAACATACATCTACATAAAGTGTATGTATGTACTTAATTCAGATAAAGTATGCAGATATTTTTACTTTTCTTGAGTTTCATATAAATACGTAAATATTAATTGTATGTAAATATATAAATAAATAAAGATCAATATATCTATTGAATAATGTTTGTAGGTGCTTCAGGTGCATTTGAAAAGGAGTTATATTTCTTATTATCAGTATATACTGGTCAATATATATCCAGAATATCTACCACACTGAAAATATTACTAAGATTATTTATAACATAACTTATTTTTGTCCAAATTTTCTGTCTTGTATTGAGATTGGCCTGTTAAAATCACCATTTTTTCTAGTTCAAAATGTTTTTATTATCCCCAATAAAACCCCAATAAGCAGTACTCTTCATTCTCCCTTCCTTCCTGGCAAACAGTAACCTGTTTTCTGTGGATTTACTTATTCAGAATCCTATATAATAAAGAGGTAATATGCATATTGACCATCACTCCAACACACAAGATGGCGGACCCCATTTGGTTAACGATGGCCACCAAAAGATGGCCAACAGGGAAGGGCAGTTGTGGGTGATCAGGCTAATAAGGGGAGGGCAGTTGGGGGCAACTAGGCCTACAGGAGAGGTCAGTTAGGGGTGACCAGGCTGGCAGGTAAGGGCAGTTAGGGACAATGAGGCCTACAGGGGAGGGCAGTTAGGTGTGACCAGGCCTGCAGGGGAGGGTAGTTAGGAGGGACCAGGCCTGCAGGGGAGGGTAGTTAGGAGGGACCAGGCCTGCAGGTGAGGACAATTGGGTGTGACCAAGCCTGTAGGGGAGAGCAGTTGGGAGGGACCAGGCCTGCAAGGGCAGACAGTTGGGGGTGACCGGGATGTCAGGGGAGGACAGTTGGGGTCTATCAGGCAGGCAGGAGAGCCTGATCAATGCCTAACTGCTATTGATCAGGCTGGCACAGGAGTGGTTAGGGGGTGATCAGGCTGGAATGCAGAGCCGATTAGGGGCAGTCAGTCAGGCAGGCAGGTGAGCAGTATGGGGCCAGCAGTCCTGGATTGTGAGGGATCCCAGATTGGAGAAGGTGCAGGCTGGGCTGAGGGACACCCACCCAATGCATGAATTTCATGCACCGGGCCTCTAGTTCTCTATAATAAAAGGCTAATCTGAAAATGGACTGAACAGTTGAATGACTGGTCACTATGACACACACTGACCACAAGAGGGCAGACGCTCAACACAGAAGCTGCCCCCTGGTGGTCAGTGCGCTCCCACAGGGGGAGCAACACTCAGCCAGAAGCCGGGTTCAAGGCAGTGGAGCTCAGCGGCAGTGCTGGGAGCGCTAAGGATATGTGACTGCTGGCTGAGGGAGCAGGCCTAAGCCAGCAGTTGGACATTCCCTGAGGGCTCCCAGACTGTGAGAAGGTGCAGCTAGGCGGAGTGACCCTCCTTTCACCCCCAGTGTATGAAATGTTATTTATGTAATTATTCCTTAGTGAAAACTAAGAAACAATTTAAATATACATTGGAAAAAATTCAAAGTCTATCAATAATAAGATTTTTAGTCATATACCAATAAAACACAATGCAAGCAGCTATTTATAAAAATTTGAAAACTTTATAAGACATGATTAGAATGACCAAAGGATATTTTCTTAAGTAAAAATAATCATAGGATATTTTGTATAGTTTATTAAATATATGTTTTTAAAATTAATTTAGGGAAACTGTCCATTTTTCTCACAGTTGGAAAGAATGCATTCTGTCTTCTGGCAGAATTCCAACTTAAACAATACACATATAGTACCTGCGATTTTTGTGCTTTCTTTTTTAATACAGAGGCATTTGTGGTTGGTGTCTCAGAAATTTTAAAAAATGGAAATTTAACCATGAGTTATTCTGGGGAACTTGCAGAAAGAGAAATAGGAGAAAATAGTAGATTTTAAAATCTTATTTTTAATAATTTACAAAGTACTAATTTTACCTGCAGAGAAAAATATATGAAGAAAAAAACACTAGTATCACTCCTACATAGAAAACACTCTCACGTCTACATTAAACATAAAAATACCAGAACCCTTTCTGCTTTTTCTCACTCATTTTTCTTTAACAGCATCTGCATTTTTCCTTACCCGGTGCATTGCTGTAGCTCTGGGAATCCGTTTCATTGTAATGGTAATGATATGGAGTGCCATCATCATAAATTGTGAGTGATAACAGAGACATAGATAGCATTGCTGATCTAACGAACATAATACATTACTTTGATTAATATTCAGCAGGACAGAAACTAGCAACATTTCATGTGTCTTTATATTTTAGCTATTAGTCCAGAAATATGTCACTTATTTTTATTTTTGCTTGAACTATGTCACAACACATAACTTTCTAATAATTGTGATTATTTTAACAGCATTATTCAACCAAGCAGTGCCAATTTCCTTGAAAGGCAAGAGAAAGTTTTCTAATATTTTGAAGCACAAGTTTCATGTATCTGTGTATACAGGGGTTTAGGCATGTATCCAGTGCTGCTGACAGGAAAGTTTATAAGACAGATCATTTATTATAGAAATCTACACTTGAAACCTATATAATCTTATTAACCAATCTCATCCTAATAACTGTAATAAAAAGAAAATGCAGCCCAAACTGGTTTGGCTCAGTGGATAGAGCGTCGGCCTGCGGACTGAAAGGTCCCAGGTTTGATTCCGGTCAAGGGCAGGTACCTTGGTTGCGGGCATATCTCCAGTAGAAGTTGTGCAGGAGGCAGCTGATCAATGTTTCTCTATCATTGATGTCTCTACCTCTCTATCCCTCTCCCTTCCTCTCTGTAAAAAATCAATAAAATATATTTTTAAAAAAAGAAAATGTAAAAGAAAATGAATTCTTGTATGCAATTCACTATTGCTTTTTAAATTTTATTTTATTGTTTACAATGAAGGAGTAATTGTAATAAGTAGAAAAAATAGTTTTGGCATATCTATCTATACATATGTAGAGGTATGTCAGTGGGTCTGATCATAATGGTCTAATATTTGGAATTGTAGAGTTAGAATAAAAAAACTATTTACCCTGCCTCGAAAAAAAAATCTGATATAATGTTCAGACATGTGCAGAATTAATAACATATTCTCCCTTTCTAGAAAGTTACTGTGGCCCATGTCCTAAAAACTGTCTGTTATAGAAACAGCTGCTACCAATTTTTTAATGAGAGCAAGAACTGGTTTCAGAGCCAAGCTTCCTGCATGTCTCAAAATTCTAGTCTCCTGAAGATATACAGCCAAGAGGACCAGGTAAAATATTGTTTTAATTCATCTGCCTATATTCAGTCCTACCATATGTGGCAACTCTCTGGAATATGAACCTGAAATATAATAGAGGCACAAGGCTCTGATACATCAACTCCATATTCTTCTGTATTAAAAATAAAAAATCACAAAAATTGCAGGAATTATATTGTATATGTGTTGTTGAAGTTAGAATTCTGAAAGAGGACAGAATGCAGTTTCCTCAACTGTGGGGAAAATGATTAAATGATTATAGCCTTGTATTTAATACAATTCTGAGAATTGACTTTATTTATGATTTCCAATAGGATATCTTTAAATTGCTAAAGTCCTACCATTGGATGGGACTAAAAAAGAATTCCACAAACGGAAACTGGCAGTGGGAAGATGGCTCCATTCTGGCTTCTGATCAGTAAGTCTGTACCTACAGTAGGTCTCTTGTTGTGGACTTGCCTCTAAGCTATTCCTGTGATCACTGAACCACCACATTTTCCTTGACACAATGCCAGGACATCCCATATGCTAATAGAGTCAGTCCAAAACTCTTAGGGCCTAGATTTAGTA